TTCTAGAGCTTAACAGGGTTTTAAAAAAAGAAATTAAAAAACCACTGCAACTCGTGATTAGGTTCCTTCGTTCTCTCTGAGTAGGTAGACCAGGGCCAGAAGTGGAGATGGCGAAAGCCGCGGATGGCGAGGTGGGGCAGGAGACAGAAGGAGGGGAAAGGAAGAGGGAGCAGAAAGGCAGACTTTATAGAGCTGTTTCCGCGGATTAGGAAAAACGTGCGGGCCCGCGCACCATCTCCAGCCAATCCATCAGTTTTCAAATGAACGGAAATCCGTCGTCTGCACAAACATCAACAAAAAAAATTACGATTTATTGGCAGAACCTTCAATTAGTGCACAGAAACGCATAGCAAAGGTTTTTGGTGTGGTGCTGCTATTAACAAGTCTACCAGGAGGCAAAAGAGGGCCACCTTCAGCAGCCAGTTTCCCCCTGGAGTGGAAGAGATTCACCTTGGGCTGGATGTTCCCCGGACGAGGGAGAACGAGGTTACTCTTATCAGCGTTTTCTAGTTCTCGTTACAGGGTATCACTGACTTCGGAGAATTCAACCCGTGCTTGAACTGAGATCCTGTGCACTTTCATCGAGCACATTGACGGCTAGTAACCGTGCATAGGATTACGCTGTAATTTTTAAAACTGCATTTTGGTTGCGATTTTTCAGGGAGGACAGGCTCCTCTTCAGGGAGTGAGACTAACGCTGAAATGTTGATTCAAACCCATATCTCGCCGTCATCTTCCAGCACTCTTGACCACTGCTCTTGGGCCAGCCTCCCCTTCCTGTTTGAATCAATGGCATTGATTTAAATGAGTCTGGGCAGGTTTACCCGAAAATTAGACCTCTTAATTTCAAAGGGATCCGCTTTCTGCGAGGCGTAATGCTTAGGACCGCGACTTTTACCTGGCTTAACCTCGCTCAGTTCCTACTCGGCGTCAGACTTATTTGCTGGGACCAAGATACTCAGCGGCTCAGGAAGAAGTTTCATATTTGGAATTACCGACTAATGAAGGTGAGACTAACGCTGAAATGTCACAGGGCTCCTCCAGGAAAAGAGGCACTGGCAGGTAGGCGCGCGAGGTGGTGACAAGCCCAGGGGCGCAGATTTTTCTAATGATTTGCTCTGTCAGCCACGAGCTGTCATTTAGAAAGGCAAGGACGCGACCGGCGCAAAGTTAAGCCCTCTTCAATTTCATGGATTTTCAGAAGGACAGATTTAAGCAAATGTTTAATTTCCCCAGAGCAACTTTGTCGCTGAACTTCCCTGCTCTTCATTTTGGTTAATTCAGGCCAGTGCACCACTAGCTAGAGAAGATTCTGCATTCATTCTGGATGGCCATGGGATAGATCGATCTGGATTTATCTGGAAAGAGGCAAAGTGTCTGTCTGTCTGTCTGTGGAGAGACCGCCATATCCACTGGAGATCAGAGGAGCGCCTGCATAACATGATATCTTCTGTTAAATGATCCCTTGTTCTTTTGCCCAGTACAGCTAAATAGTTGGACAAACAGGCATCCAGCGGAACTACCATTAAGATGGGCCTTGTGTTTTCGTGTGTGGGTGTTTAAGGTATAAAACCGACAATTTCTTATTTCAATTTTATGAAATTTGCTTTCTGCCCCATACTACACTCAAGAATCTAATTTCCTGTGAAACTAGACATTCGTTTCCAGTAGGCTGTGGAGAAAAAGAGGCCTTGTTTGCCTACAAAAAAAGAGGGAGGGAAGAGCCCCCCCCCCGGCCTTTTCTCTCTTCTTGTTCTTCTTCTTGTTGTCCTCCCCCCCCCTCTTTCCAGAATAGATATAGTACGAATTTTTAATTCGTCTTCCTTTCACAGACAACAATGCTGGTTTTGAAAAGCGGATACAATTTGGGTTTTGTGGAGGTCTCTTTCTGCCCTCTCCCGGCCCAGCTGTCCATATGGAATACAGCATGGACAACGGGGCTCACAATGGCACCAACTGACAGGCGGAACAAAAACCCGAGGTACTTCCCCCTGACTCGGAGATGCTCTGATCACTCCAGATACACCAAGGGATGAATTGCGTTTAAAGAAGAGGAGGAGGAGGAGGAGGAGAAGGGAGAGCCTCT